TTACTTTAGTTAACTTATTCACTTTATTTAACTTAATCTCTTTAGTTACCGTAATCACTTTAGTTAACTTAATCACTTTAGTTACATAAATCACTTTAGTTACCTTAATCACTTTAGTTAACTTAATCACTTTAGTTACCTTAATCACTTTAGTTAACTTAATCACTTTAGTTACCTTAATCACTTTAGTTCACTTAATTACTTTAGTTACTTAATCACTTTAGTTACCTTAATCACTTTAGATAACTAAATCACTTTAGTTACCTTAATCACTTTAGTTAACTTAATCACTTCAGTTACTTAATCACTTTAATTAACTTTATCACTTTAGTTACCTTAATCACTTTAGTTAACTTAATCACTTTAGTTAACTTTATCACTTTAGTTTACTTAATCACTTTAGTTAACTTAATCACTTTAGTTAACTTTATCACTTTAGTTTACTTAATCACTTTAGTTAACTTAATCACTTTAGTTAACTTAATCCCTTTAGTTACCTTAATCACTTTAGTTATCCTAATCACTTTAGTTACATTAATCACTTTAGTTAACTTAATCACTTTAGTTAACTTTATCACTTTAGTTAACTTAATCACTTTAGTTAACTTAATCACTTAAGTTAACTTAATCACTTTAGATAACTAAATCACTTTAGTTACATTAATCACTTTAGTTACATTAATCACTTTAGTTAACTTTATCACTTTAGTTAACTTAATCACTTTAGTTAACTTAATCACTTTAGTTAACTAAATCACTTTAGTTAACTTAATCACTTTAGTTACTTAATCACTTTAGTTAACTTAATCACTTTAGTTACCTTAATCACTTTAGTTATCTTAATCACTTTAGTTACATTAATCACTTAGTTAACTTTATCACTTTAGTTAACTTAATCACTTTAGTTAACTTAATCACTTTATATAACTAAATCACTTTAGTTACATTAATCACTTTAGTTACATTAATCACTTTAGTTAACTTTATCACTTTAGTTAACTTAATCACTTTAGTTACATTAATCACTTTAGTTAACTTAATCACTTTAGTTTACTTAAACACTTTAGTTAACTTAATCACTTTAGTTAACTTAATCACTTTAGTTATCTTAATCACTTTAGTTACATTAATCACTTAGTTAACTTTATCACTTTAGTTAACTTAATCACTTTAGTTAACTTAATCACTTGATATAACTAAATCACTTTAGTTACATTAATCACTTTAGTTACATTAATCACTTTAGTTAACTTTATCACTTTAGTTAACTTAATCACTTAACTTAACTTAATCACTTTAGTTAACTTTATCACTTTAGTTAACTTAATCACTTTAGTTAACTTAATCACTTTAGATAACTAAATCACTTTAGTTACCTTAATCACTTTAGTTAACTTTATCACTTTAGTTACTTAATCACTTTAGTTAACTTTATCACTTTAGTTACCTTAATCACTTTAGTTAACTTAATCACTTTAGTTATCTTAATCACTTTAGTTACATTAATCACTTAGTTAACTTTATCACTTTAGTTAACTTTATCACTTTAGTTAACTTAATCACTTGATATAACTAAATCACTTTAGTTACATTAATCACTTTAGTTACATTAATCACTTTAGTTAACTTTATCCCTTTAGTTAACTTAATCACTTAACTTAACTTAATCACTTTAGTTAACTTTATCACTTTAGTTAACTTAATCACTTTAGTTAACTTAATCACTTTAGATAACTAAATCACTTTAGTTAACTTAATCACTTAACTTAACTTAATCACTTTAGTTAACTTTATCACTTTAGTTAACTTTATCACTTTAGTTAACTTTATCACTTTTGTTAACTTAATCACTTGATATAACTAAATCACTTTAGTTACATTAATCACTTTAGTTACATTAATCACTTTAGTTAACTTTATCCCTTTAGTTAACTTAATCACTTAACTTAACTTAATCACTTTAGTTAACTTTAATCACTTTAGTTAACTTTATCACTTTAGTTAACTTAATCACTTTAGTTAACTTAATCACTTTAGTTACTTAATCACTTTAGTTAACTTTATCACTTTAGTTACCTTAATCACTTTAGTTAACTTAATCACTTCAGATACTTAATCACTTTAGTTAACTTTATCACTTTAGTTACCTTAATCACTTTAGTTACATTAATCACTTTAGTTAACTTTATCACTATAGTTTACTTAATCACTTTAGTTAACTTTATCACTTTAGTTACCTTAATCACTTTAGTTAACTGAATCACTTAAGTTAACTTAATCACTTTAGTTACCTTAATCACTTTAGTTATCTTAATCACTTTAGTTACATTAATCACTTTAGTTAACTTAATCACTTTAGTTAACTTAATCACTTTAGTTAACTTAATCACTTTAGTTAACTTAATCACTTTAGTTATCTTAATCACTTTAGTTACATTAATCACTTAGTTAACTTTATCACTTTAGTTAACTTAATCACTTTAGTTAACTAATCACTTGATATAACTAAATCACTTTAGTTACATTAATCACTTTAGTTACATTAATCACTTTAGTTAACTTTATCACTTTAGTTACCTTAATCACTTTAGTTAACTTAATCACTTTAGTTAACTTAATCACTTTAGTTATCTTAATCACTTTAGTTACATTGATTAACTTAATCACTTAAGTTAACTTAATCACTTTAGTTAACTTTATCACTTTAGTTAACTTAATCACTTTAGTTAACTTAATCACTTTAGATAACTAAATCACTTTAGTTACATTAATCACTTTAGTTACCTTAATCACTTTAGTTAACTTAATCACTTTAGTTACTTAATCACTTTAGATAACTAAATCACTTTAGATAACTAAATCACTTTAGTTAACTTGATCACTTTAGTTAACTTAATCACTTTAGTTATCTTAATCACTTTAGTTACATTAATCACTTTAGTTAACTTTATCACTTAAGTTACCTTAATCACTTTAGTTAACTTTATCACTTAAGTTACTTAATCACTTTAGTTACCTTAATTACTTTAGTTAACTTAATCACTTTAGTTAACTTTATCACTTTAGTTAACTTTATCACTTTAGTTACCTTTATCACTTTATTTACTTAATCACTTCAGTTACCTTAATCACTTTAGTTACTTAGTCACTTTAGCTACATTTATCACTTTGGTTACCATGCGTGACAAGTTGACGAATCATTTGTTAAGAGATATTACGATGCGATTATCAGCTCATGTTACATTTGATTGTAAATAATAAAGTAAAGACATAAGATTATGAAAGGACCGACACAAACGAAGTCTATAGTAGGGTGAAGATTGTGGTAGGAAGAAAGATAACTCTTATAGAATAAAAAGACGATTCGATGTCGGATACGTGAACTTAAACGTTTCGGCAACGTGTATATATAATTAAAAGGCATCGAAATGAAATCTAATTAAGATTACCACTGTGGAGGTGAACTTACCTATCACCTTATTGTGAATCTCAATTGCCCTTGTTTTCAGTGTCCTTATTGTCATATCCACCAGGAGTTCAAAGTCTGTTAAGATGTGTTCCTATTGATCAAATGAGAATTATTCGATCACTTAAAATGTCGGTATAGAAGATTATTATCAAACACTAATTATGGTTTGAAATGACCATTGGCTTAACATGAACTTAAAAGTTAAGTCTGAAGGTAAAAAAATATGAATAATGATTTAAAAGCAAAAAAAATCATGTTTATGTAAGTTTTCGTTATTAGCAGAAAGAAACCATCACATGAGGTCAAGGCGTTACTGTCGCGCACTTTTCGAGATCAATATTTAATTTTCATTAGGTACACGATCACAATCAAAATATTTGGAAGCAAGCTTTATTGCCGTACGTCAAAGAAGTAATTCATTTTGTTTCGGAACTAATATTTCCTGGAAAATGTTCTTGGAGAGTATAATAAAAAGTCTGTTGTATTACGAAGTTTGAGAGGAATTTTAAAGATTAAAAACATTTACCATACAATTGTCATCGAGGGAGAGGTCGTGTTCAATATTGAACAACACCAGATCCATGAGTTCAAGGGTTAACTGAAATGAAAGTAGTTCGTCCAAAAATACATACATGTACCACGTCATTACATATAACTTAAAATATATATTAGCCAATATTTATGTAAATTATTGATGACTTGATATTGTGATGTTTTTGTTTTGTAATGTATTGAGGAAAGGGCAACTATAAGTTGAAACAACTTGTGCCCGATCCTTTTGTAAATAATTTACAATAAAATATGTTTAATTAAAAAAAAATACTTATAACACTTTTTTATGATCAAAATTGATATTTTACAGTATATTGGAATATCTTTGTAGATAGAATGATTATTAACGTTTAGATTAAGATTTTTCATCTGAGGTATACACTTTCAAATTATATTTTTAAATATAGCATCAATGACAGGTCAAATGTTATTTAACGTTTGGAATGTTTTATATCAGCCTGTAATATACATGAACACAACACATGCAGTAGAAAAGCATCAGAGTTACAGGGAATGTCCTGTTGATGTATAAAGGATAATCATGCCTCCATAATGATTAAGAATATTCCTCAAGACTGAACACTTTAGGTCATCATAATATTCTAACTTCTGTGAATTAATACACTCTATACAAACATAATAAACGAAAGAAAACAGCATTATGACATTAGAATACGAAAACATGGCTACTGCGACGTCACACTTAAATTTGGTCATTGCTTTTTTCTTCAAATAAACACATGCTCTCACATTTTTCTTCGGTTTAAAATGAAATAAGGTATCATTTTCCCCAAGAATACAAATTAATATTGACTGAATGTTTCACTAGAAAATACATGAAGATATCTAATATAAACGGGTTTTACAAAAGGCAGACAAGTGAACAACAGAGTTTTGTACAATTTACAATTAAGATAAAATCAAATAATGCATTACTCTGTATCATGCAGCTTTAAGTACATTGTGCAAATAAACTGATTTAGAAGAAGACGACTCCGTCTTTTATAATGACCTGCAATACGTCAACTTCAGAGATGTTTTTCGTGTCCGTGTAGTTCAATCTATTGAAGACTGATTGGGCCAAGCTTGAGATGTTACAGCTCAACCCTTGGACCTTAGGAAGATACCTGTGGATGCATTGCTTTCGAGACACAACATCTGGCATTTTTGTACACTGAAAAACAAAAAACAAACAAACAAAACAATAAAGAAAAAGGCAGTGCAATACAGAACAGTAAACAATGAATGATATGATGACATAAAAGGGAACCGTGATAATTGATAATCCTGATTACAATGTCAGTCCCGAACATTCTTATTTAATATCAGTATCGATTCTTTGCTGATTTGCTGACGGAAGTGTACCTCAATGCGCACTGAGAAATTTGTTCTATTGTGAATAATGAGATGGAGTGGCAACTCTCAGATCTATACTGATATCCCAGCACTGTCGTACTAAGAAATGAAACACTTTTAAATGAATATATTTCAAATCAATTAATTCTAAAAAAAATCCCAGCACTGTCGTACTAAGAAATGAAACACTTTTAAACGAATATATTTCAAATCAATTAATTCTAAAAAAATCCCAGCACTGTCGTACTAAGAAATGAAACACTTTTAAATGAATATATTTCAAATCAATTAATTCTAAAAAAAATCCCAGCACTGTCGTACTAAGAAATGAAACACTTCTAAATGATTATATTTCAAATCAACTAATTCTGATTTTTTTTTTTTTTTTTTTTTTTTGTGAATCCAAAATAAACCTTATTAAAAAGCATACATTTTGTTGATTTTAAGTTACATGCACTGGTCAATATAAGTTTGGGATTGTATACATAGCATCCGTGACAAATTTCGTTTCCGTCAATAGTAAACGTCATGAACACAAGGAATATGCGTGTCTGACGTGTCAAGTTATTTCAATTTTAGAACATAGTACAAGATGCGTGAATGTTTTGGTCGTAAAAATAAGACTAAGTGGTTTCCTTGTTTGGGATTTTACGTCCTCATTACAGCTGATGTCGTGTCAAGGCGTTATCCACGTATAATAAATAGCAGGTCAAGGTCGTGGCATGTTATGTCATGGAAGAATATAATAAACCGATTGATGTATCAAAGAAAACAAAACACTAGTAATTGGGAAACATTATTAATATGTGGTACATAAAATAGATGTGTTGACATAGAATACTTAACGGAAATATTCCTACCTGGAGGACTGTTGAATTTTTCGTTGAAAATGCATCGTCGTTTAATACTGAAATGGAGGCAGGTGATGTTGTTACGTCATTACTAGCTGTTATTACGTCACCACTAGCTGTTTTTACGTCAGCGGTTGATGATAGGAAGTTCTCATTGGATATTATGGTGAAATCTGTAGTGATGGTGGATACTGATACCTCCGTTTTGGTGTTGATCAACTCTTCTCTTGTTGTATCTATCAGGCTGACTGTTAAATTATGAACATGATTACATATACCAGTTATATATGTCACATGATACACCTTCTGGAATGTAAGATGTCACTTTAACTGACGTGCGTTGAACTAATGCTTGGGATAATGAACATACTTTTTGCGAGAATGCTCTGTCAATCTAATACCCAGATTTTCCTTATCGTACACGATTACTCAATACCAAATTTCTTATCCTCTTCGCTGTAATGAGAACAGCTGAGAAGGCAAACCTTTATCCAAACTCCTCGTTTAATAAATCTTGTATTATGCTGTGCATAAAAAGACAATTTTATTTACTCTACATGTGGCTTCATCATTAGATCAATTTTTGTCGGAATTTTCTATTTTTGTGCCTTGTTAAGTTAGAAACTGAATAAAGGTTGTTAACGTTCGATATTGTTTCCATTATCTAATGTGTAGACATAAAAAACTTTAACAAAGTCCTATAGGATCAGGTAGGCAGTTTTGTCATCACATGTGATATGATCTTTAGTCAACATATAAAGAATAATTGGCATTCACATAACAAAAATACAAAAATAGCAATGATATAAAACGAAATGTGACATGCACTGACGGTATTGTCAACGACCCAGAACACAAATTTCGAAGATTTTCCTGAATATTCAGAATTTCGTTTATATATATATGGTATCATAACAACGAGACATGATCAAAGATGTGAAACAAGGCGTTAAAATGCAATAAGAATACAATTTCAAATATAACTTCTATGAAAAGGCCGTGGATAGTTTACTAAATTTAAGTCCAAACAAAATATACAAAATTTTAATTCATTATATATTGAAATTGATTTGATATTCAATATATGAAATGATTTTATCTCTATTAGCTTACCTGGATTTTTGTCATACTGTGTTTGATGGGAAGGAAGGAGGAGGATGCTGGGTGGAAGAGACAACGAAGCTGGATCATGCTTGGTAAAGGATCGGCCAGTGATATATTGCATGCTCTGTGTTACAACACTGGGAGTAGGGGAAATAACTCCTTTACTAATTTTCTTGTCATTTTGAGATATCGAGGAAAAACGATTTAGGGTAAAACGGCTGGTGTAAAATGGCAGGGAAGGACTCACACTGGGCACAGGTATGGCAGATGAGGAAGAGGTGGGGAGGAGGGAAGTATAGGACTCCATTGTATTTAACAAACCATTGTCATGTGTCGTCAGTAAATTTAGAGGATTCAAAGAAAGAGACAATGTATGAAACGTTTCATCCTGAATAACGGTTGCGGCTATAGAACTTGACAAGTATCGACCACCATCCCCGAATGATGTCTGTAAGCTTAGAACTGATTTTGGGATCGAAGATTGGATAACGTCGACACTAAAAGTTGTTTGTAATTCGGTTTTAAAGGAAAGTGAATTAGAAACGGATTCCGCAGTTGTCAACAGTTTCGTATTAATATTAAGCGTTGTCTCGACGGTTTTACTGAATAAACATTGATGGGTATTTTGTTGTTGATCTGAAATAGAGGAACAAAGATATCGAAGTATTAAAAGCTTAACATCGTATTAAATATGCAAACCTCATTAAAGTGTAGACAAACCATGCATAAATCTATCATAAGTACCACTTTTTTTAGTATAAAAGTATACTACACGAGATTAACAAGATCAATAAAGGTAACTACGCTGGACGTGGTTGTATTATTGTTAGATATATATATATACTCAGGTTAAGGTATGTCCTATCATTCTGTGCTTCACAAAGTACTAAACAGGTTCAACAGTTTGCAATTCATCAACATCTTGCACAATGCTTGACACATAATGCACCTGAAGTACAATGTACCTGTAGTACAATGTACCTGTAGTACAATACACCTGTAGCACAATGTACCTGTAGTACAAAATACCAGTAGTACAATATACCAGTAGTACAATATACCTGTAGTACAATGTACATGTAGTGTATCTGTAGTACAATATACCTGTAGTACAATGTACATGTAGTGTATCTGTAGTACAATATACCAGTAGTACAATATACCTGTAGTACAATGTATATGTAGTACAATATACCTGTAGTACAATGTACATGTAGTGTATCTGTAGTACAATATACCTGTAGTACAATGTACATGTAGTACAATATGCCTGTAGTACAATATACCAGTAGTACAATATACCTGTAGTACAATGTACATGTAGTGTATCTGTAGTACAATATACCTGTAGTACAGTGTACATGTAGTACAATATACCTGTAGTACAATGTACATGTAGTGTATCTGTAGTACAATATACCAGTAGTACAATATACCTGTAGTACAATGTACATGTAGTACAATGTACATTTAGTACAAGATACTTGCAGTACAATGTACATGTAGTGTATCTGTAGTACAATATACATGTAGTACAATGTACATGTAGTGTATCTGTAGTACAATATACATGTAGTACAGTGTACATGTAGTACAATATACCTGTAGTACAATATACCTCTAGTACAGTGTACATGAAATACAATATACCCGTAGTACAATATACATGTAGTACAATATATCTGTAGTACAATGTACATGTAGTGTATCTGTAGTACAATATACCTGTAGTACAGTGTACATGTAGTACAATATACCTGTAATACAGTGTACATGTAGTACAATATACCTGTTGTACAATATATATGTAGTACAATATACTTGTAGTACAATGTACCTGTAGTACAATTTTACTACGAAAGTAAATAAAATATTTTTTTATTGGTTGCTGCAAATATAAGATAAAAATCAGATTTCCTTGTGCCTTACAACAAAGTGAGTAATCTTCGTCCGAGGAGTCTTGACAGTCCCCTTGGCCATCACAGACAACCCCTTGATCTACACACTGACCATCTCGGCACACAAATAGATCTCCATCGGATTTGCATGTCGCTGTAAAAACATGATGAAATTATAATATAATTTTTGAAAACCCTCATTCTAAACTAGCTTTCATTCATTAGAAATGCATAACTTTGCATTTAAACAGTGATCTTTAATGAATCAAGATGTACATTTTGTTTTTTTTATCAATGTTGTGTTTACCATTATAAACTACCAAAATAATCTTAAACTACTATTAGAAAGTAGAATTAGTCATGTTTAAGAGAGTTCATTGTATATGTAGAAACACGCTATCTAAACAGGTTACAGTTCGAAAGGTGTTAGTTATTATTGTTTAACCGTTTGGATGGGATTAGGGGGTACTTTAGTATGTATATAATATAGCTACAGCATTATGGAGTAACACAATGGGGCATGTCGTGGTTAAAGTATTAAAATGTAACAAAATGAGAAATGCATTGGTTACAGTGATACAATGTTACACAATGAGGAAAGTATTGGTTACAGCATCAAAATGTTACACTACGAAGACTCTCTTGGTTACAGTATCAAAATAATACACAACGAGGAATGTCTTGGTTACAGTATTAAAATGTTACACAATGAGGAATTGCATGGTTACAGCATCAAAATGTTACACAACGAAGACTCTCTTGGTTACAATAATAAAATGTTACACAATGAGGAATTTCACGGTTAAAACATTACAATGTTACACAACGAGGAATGTACTGGCTACAGTATTAAAATGTAACAAAATGAGAAATGCCATGGTTACAGCATTACAATGTTACACAAAAATGAATGTATTGGTTACAGTATTAGAGTGTTATACAATGGGGAATGTCTTGGTTACAATATAACAATGTTATACAATGAGGAATGTCTTGGTTACAATATTACAATGTTATACAATGGGGAATGTCTTGGTAACAGCATTACAATGTTATACAATGGGGAATGTCTTGGTAACAGCATTACAATGTTATACAACGAGGAATGTCTTGGTTACAATATTACAATGTTATACAATGGGGAATGTCTTGGTTACAATATTACAATGTTATACAATGAGGAATGTCTTGGTAACAGCATTACAATGTTATACAATGGGGAATGTCTTGGTAACAGCATTACAATGTTATACAATGGGGAATGTCTTGGTTACAATATTACAATGTTATACAATGGGGAATGTCTTGGTTACAATATTACAATGTTATACAATGAGGAATGTCTTGGTAACAGCATTACAATGTTATACAACGAGGAATGTATTGGTTACAATATTACAATGTTATACAATGGGGAATGTCTTGGTAACAGCATTACAATGTTATACAATGGGGAATGTCTTGGTAACAGCATTACAATGTTATACAATGGGGAATGTCTTGGTAACAGCATTACAATGTTATACAATGGGGAATGTCTTGGTTACAATATTACAATGTTATACAATGGGGAATGTCTTGGTTACAATATTACAATGTTATACAATGAGGAATGTCTTGGTAACAGCATTACAATGTTATACAACGAGGAATGTATTGGTTACAATATTACAATGTTATACAATGGGGAATGTCTTGGTAACAGCATTACAATGTTATACAATGGGGAATGTCTTGGTAACAGCATTACAATGTTATACAACGAGGAATGTATTGGTTACAGTATTAAAATGTTACATAAAGGGGAATGTCATATTTACAGCATTGCATTAAAATGTCTTGGTTACAATATTATGACGTCACTTAATTAGGAATTATTTGGTTACATCACTATGATATAAAACAACTGGAAATATTTTGTTACAGTAGTATGATAGTAAATATATACAATTCATATTTCCAAGTTTTCTACTTTTTGATAGCGTTGAGTGGAGGACAGGATCTTCATTCATAGCATTACATAAGTGTTTATTAGTCTCTTTCTATCTTAAATTTGATATTTTACTTTTAATATTTGTTGAAGACGATTTCATTTCCAGGAGGAAAAATAATTTAGAATGATATTCAAAACTGAAGTGTAACTTTGGCGTGGTCCTGGACTTATAAACATATCTCTTGCATGAAGTAACCTAATACCTACCCTTTTCACATATAAAATAATGTCTCTGGTTACAGTTTCCATCAAACCACTTCACGAATGAGCGACTGTTGATTTCATTTAAGCCACCACATAACGTTCCGTCGATGTGATTTCTAGGAAACCAAGCATTGTCTCCAATCAAATGCAAAGCATTATATAATAAATAACCATAAGTCTAACTGAAAATACAATTCATTGTATGAACCAGGGTATGAAAACATTCTTTCTTTTCGTTTTGAATTGTCTTTTTTATCAAATAAACGTGTAAAAAGTAATATACATTGGAAAATATAGGACTTAGTAATAAAAGATTTTCCTATTTCGTTTTCATTTTGTGACAACCGTGATAAGAAGCCAGGTGGGAGGGTCGGATAAATGTTTTCTGCATCATATACAATGTACATGCTATATTTTCGTAACATAAAGACACTAATTATTGTTTCGAAATAAAAAAGAAATATATTTAATATAAATTCAAGTCGTTAGTAGGGCAGTAACCATACACAATACTCACGACGGGATAGTTCTGGAGGTTTGATTGGACGCCGCCACACGTCCATCTATCCAGTAGTATTTATCAGTCGTGTTATCGTAGGTAAGCCCGAGCCATATTTTGTCCCTGGTACCTAAGCTAAACAATATATCTTTTAATTAGACAGATGGATAATTGAATGAAAACATACATTACAATGGATTCATGAAAAAAATGCAAAAAGATGGTGTTCAAAGTGTCATGGCTGACATAATGTTACGATTCTGATTTATTCTTTAACTGAGTCAAAGACCTATCAATTAATTAGCCGAATGAATTCTCAATTTATTATAATGTTTTATACATGTGACATGACCACACAAGGGTCATTATGTACATAAAGGGTAATAACAAGACGTCCCCTTTTCACTCTTTTAACAACTTCCTGCCGAGATGCGCCTAAGGGAGAGAAACGTGTAAACTGAAAAAACAGTAAACTTAAGAGAAAATAAAACACAAATGTAAAATACAAAAATGTTAAATACAAAATGTAAAAAAACCCACATATTATCAATAGGTGGGAACATTTTATAATTTTCCGACCCGTCGGACACAGGGAAGTGTATATTCTCTCTTACTTGACATCTTACATTATCATAAAAAAACTTCATGTTGGTTGCATCGTGACGTCATTTTTTGTTACATTGTCTGTGTAATACAGAGTAAGAAACAAAGGTGTATCATATTGAATATTAAATAAACCAATATATGATCTACGTCCACAATAAAAAAAACTCCAAAAAACAAAAACAAAATACTTACCAATTACCAAAATTGTAATACAAAAAGACATTGGATAAAACAAGGACTTGTATCTAGAAAGGATAAGCATTTTACAAACTACATGTGTTCTGAGTTATATTACCACTGTTATAATGTTTATATTTTCTAGGAGTGTCATTTGGAAAATCAATAATAAACAGTTAAATCTGACATATACCTTACTAGTTTTTTAATAAATTGCCACTCAGTTTCATTGGAGAATGTTGCCAAGTCCGACATGTGTTGTTTACATGTTCCTCGCGCATCCGGCCAAGTCAACATGGTGGACGTATTCATAAACTTGACACAATGATTCCGTGGTGTCACTACCCATTCCTCCCATGCCCTACACACTGAAAAAAATCTTTGTTACAATAATCTAAAACAAATAACACATTATTAGTTTTATATTACATAACCAAATAACAACACACTATTTTCATTGGTGCATCTAAAATGGCTTATCAGCATATCAGCATTGTTACAGTCTGTGCCAAGAGAATCTTAATTCCAACTCGATCCAATTACAGAAAAAAATGAATAGAAATTAAAGATTAATTTGTATTCTCCTAGAAAATACTATAATTAGACAACGTGACAACCGACATGTAAATCATGGTTAATTCAAGCAAGTTATATCACGGAAACACCAGGCAAACTAACTAACATCAAACACGTTCACCTCATATAAGGCAAATAAATCGAATAATTTCCAAAAAGGTTATTATGTTGACCGTACGACCTCCTTTAAACCTTTCATCTGTAATATGCAGTCACATGTGGATCAGATTTATTCATTGATTTGAAAATATATTTATCAACACGTTTTTGCTACTTACGTATACTTTCAGCTTCACACACAAACCCGACATGGTTGGAACAGCAAACCTGTACCAACATATTGTTTTCTATCCCCATACAAAATCCATTTCTATCTTTATATTGATCTGAAAGCAAATACAGATTACATATAAAAGACGTAATATATACATATATATATATATATATTTATATATGATATATAATTGGCATCATAAGTGTATATAAAGTTTTTTATACGATGTTTAAATCTACTATTTGTTTATGATTCATCTCTATTGATAAAGCATTCATCATTCATGGATAGTTATGTTACTGATCTTCGTCATATGTATAGTTTGTTAACAGAGTCTGTGACATAACAACAGTATAACAGGTGATAATCGGACATGTATGGTTCGGTCTTACCATAGTCTGTTTCTCAAAATGATCAGATCACTTATCATTCTGTAGTGCGTGGCAGTGTGCCTACAAATGGACACTTTAATCCAAGTACCATTAATATCATTTTAGAATGTTGTTCAGTGTGGAAGCTACCAAAGCAATCCTGTCGTTTTACGAAGTGAACTCTGTTATTTTCCCTGTTTTGGGATTTTTTGAAAAGAGAGAAGATGGATTTTCTTTTTTGACGATAATTTTTTTACATATATTTTGATGTAAAATACATCTCCATTCCGTTAAGTAGCCTTATAATCACAAGGTCAAAGGTAACGCATTAATTAGAATAATATCTATATAAGTGCATACCTACCTACCACACTGAAATTAAAATCAGCTCGAGTTAAGGCATTTCCATCTGTCCATTGCCATTCATTTACCTGAAATCATTAAGAAATAATTC